GACAATATTTATCATTAAATCCCATACTTTTATCTTCAAAATGCTTTATATTCCATTAAATTATCCTTTGTAGTTTTTGAATAATAAATTTATTACTTTTTGCGTACCTTTTTGAACACCCGTTATTATCTAAGCATGTTTAATGAAGTTCATTCAAATTTTGATTAAAAATTAAATACTGTTTAGTAATTCTTAGCAATACTTTGCATAAATATCCATATATTTGATATCTTCTTAATAAAATAATATTAATAAGAAACTAACAGTAAGTTAACACACTGCTTAGTTAATTTTGGTAATAAGTTAATTGAAACAAAGCACTAAAATTCCGCGTAAATTTGTTTGCTTTGCTTAATAATTAATTAAATATCAGAAATCAATGGATAGTAAAGAGATACTGTAGTTGTAAATAAAGAAAGAGACCCTAAGAGATATATGAGACAAATAAACATTTTTATGGCTTTTGAAATGTTTCCTTGATTTAAATAATAAAGACACATATAAAACATTTTTACAAATTATAGATTATTAAATTAATATAAAATTCTATCAATTTATATAAATTGTTTTTATGATTACAATCGCAATAAATACACGAAAGGCCTTTTTGTGTCAATTTTAATAAAAAACAACTGATTCCTTATAAATATACAGTAAAGAAATATCTAATAATAAAATAATAAAACAGTTTGAACAGTATCTATAATCATAATACAGTTATCTTACCTAATACACTTTTGATTTATGTGACAAATAATATTTATATAATGCATAATAATGTTAGTACCGTATATTTAAAATTGATGTCATTTTATGAAATAGATTCAAATATTCATCATAAAAGAGGAAATATTATATTTTCAATTGACTTTTATAAGCTTTATGTAAGAATGTTTAGAATATTATAAATATTTATGATATTACAATATAAATTTTATACTAAATTAGAAACATTTAAGTGAAATATTATAAAAATAGCGATAAATAGTGCGGTTTGTGTAAAGAATAAAGCCAAACCCATTTCAATAAGACTTAACAAATATACTTCGCATAAAATTGTTTACTTCTGAAGCAAATCTTAACAAATAGTAATCACAAACCAATTCTATAAAATAATTTTTATCTGAGTATTATAATATATTTATTTTATAATACTTTAAATAATTTTAAAGCGATAGTAATAAATTTATGTTTTTATAAAATATTTACTAAAGAAAAATATTAACCTATAATAACTATAATACTGTAGTAAATAATTTTAATTAGTCATATATTATGTCATTAATCTACATATATTTGAATAAAGATTTGAGTAGCTATTAGGTGATCATAAATATAAATCTAATTAATTTTTAGTGCACAGGAATTCAATAATTAATTAATTTACAAATGATAAATTGATTCCGATAACTATTTCTAGACTGTTTATATGAGTTACTCTAACAATACATTAATTTAAAGTCCTTTGACAGAAAAATGGTGTAAATTAATCAAATTAAATATGTCTAACATTTTTGTTTTAATACATACGGGATATAAACAGTCGTTTCTATTTTAAATGTCTCTTTGTTTTGTTTTACATTTTTATATTAACTTAAATTAACAACTTTATAATTGCAACGCTATTAAAGGCTATATAAACCATCAAGCTTATGCACAATAATCTTGGTTGTTTTATGTATTTATACTGATAAATAAAAGCAATTAATTTATAAATATGCATCAATAAAAAATTCCAATAATCTAATAATTAGAAATATTTAATTGCATGTATTACGATAATGTGCATTTTAAACTAATGAGATTGAAAACCAAATTCTTAATGTTATAATATTAATTATATTTTATTGTATTCATAAAACAAGTTGAATTCTATACTATATGTAAAGTAGGGATATTTAGGGCTTAATTTAGAACTTCATGGTAGAGATAACTAATTAATATAAAAAACTAAACATAATTAAAATATAAGATTATGTGTAGGTAGCGCGTTTTAAATACTAAACTACACTATCATAGCAAAAGTTTAAAATGATAATTGAAACCGAAAGCTAACAACGGCTGAACTGATGTCAAAACACAGTAATTGGTGTGAATTCTGTATGATATGAATGCTATGAAACAGAAGAACAGAGAAAATAAATGTCAGAATCATATGACATATCATTATTTGAATCAAAATATGTTTCGTTTGTTTAGCATTTGAATTAAAGTGGAGTGGAAACAGAAAATTAAGAGCTTATAAAAGACAACCCTTTAAGGCATTTGTCGACAAAAGGATGTAAATTAACATCAATTTTTTAGGGCAATCAAAATAATAAGACAATATTTAATGAATGTTTTTCGATTCGTTTCTATAGAAACTGTTTTTAATATTGTATGATATGAATGAAAAACTCACGAAATATTATTTAAAGTCTAATTTGGGTTCAGTTATGGATTCTGGCGTTTATTGTCGTCTCTTATGCGGGCATTCAATGAAGTGATTCATTAGATTTCACTTCAGATCTAACGAGAAGTGTATGAAAGAAAAGGATGAAAATGATACAAATGATACAAATCCTTGAATTCCAGTCATTACTCATTTGTTTGCATGCATTCACTACTTTTATCATTCGTTTTACTAATTCCCTTATAAATAATAATTAATACCATATGTATTTATAGTATCTAAAGACTTTTAATACCATTATTAGGCATTAATACAAAGACAAACATAAGAATTAATTTATCCCAAAATTGTGTTCATTATAAGTGCACTCACTTTCTATTTGTGTTACACATTGTTATCGAAAGAATCGTAAATTAAAAACAAACATAATATACATTAGAGAGCGTTATAATTGAAAATATAAACAATAATCTTTATATTAGAAATTAATTGTAATATAAATTACTTACAGTTTTCATTCATTAAAGATGATTGAGTTGCTGTGTATTAAAAGTTAACAAAAGTTTGCACTAATGACAGCATTATTAAATTTGAACACAATTTATTTTTTCTTTAATATTTTGGAAAAATTTAATATCTTTTTCAGTAATATTTGTCCAAAATTTGGAAAGAGCTTGAAGTAAAATAAAATTACAGTAACTGTTGTGAACGATATGTGAGATATTATAGGATATGTGTCTTTCAAGTCCTCACTTATTCTGTTGAGTTCTGCAGAACTGCATCTATTCTTCTGCTTATATTCCCAACTAATCCAAGCGCTCAGTCATGCCTTGTATCCGATGTAAGCATAATCTGGTGACCGACACACATATCATCCAATCGATCGCATCTATTCATCCTTTTGTATCAAATATAATGTTATATTATATATGATTTCAGACATATATATTATATACGTTATATAATATAATATATATTATATATTATATAATATATTATTTATTATATATTATATTATATACGAGAAACTACATTTTGTTGAAAACTTCAGAATTAATTAGAAAGTCAACTATTTTTGAACTACAGAGTACAATAACAAAATTTATCATATTAATATAATATAAATAATTTTAGTTTGCAAAATAAATCTTTGTTATTAAATTTTATATTAAATTTTTTAAATAAAAGAACTTGTTTTCTATCATAATGTTTAAATAAATGATATAAACTCACTATTCTATTTTTATTATATTTTATAATATTTTTATAATATTATTTAATAATAATAATAAAATATTTACAAAAATAATTTCTATAAAGTCAATAAATTCTTATTAAAGTTTCAAAAGAAATAAAATAATTTTTCTATTATTTTCTAATATTACAAAAAGTATTCAATTTATTTTCAATCTTAAACTCAAGGGTAAGAAGTGTTTTGCCTTCTAAATAGAGTACCCAGCTTATTCATTATGATTTGATAATCAGTTGATGTATATGATATCTTTAAAAGTAATATATTTTTGAAATATACTACTGTATTAGTAAATTATTGAATTAAATTAAAAATATAAGTCGATTTGATCAGTAATCAGTGACAAATTATAATTTTATATCAAATATATTATTTATTATAAAAATTGTAAAAATCTAATTTCAAAAATAAACCTTTGGATGAAAGGTCTCAATATTCAATAACTTTATTAAACATAAGATAAGACACTTTTCCTTGAAGTTTGTACATCTAGTTTAATGATTAGTGATATACTAGTATAGAGTATGTGACAAACATATTAATTGACAATCACTTAATTTCAGCCAATTATGTTGACTTACAGTGGAAACTAACGTATAATTTAGTAATAATCAGTTGTGATGTTTAAATAAATTGTTTATTTTAGTAAATGTTTTGTATTTTCTAATTGTGTGTTTGAAAAATATTTTATTACATTAAATGATGAATTCAACAAAAATCCACACATTTTCACAAATATTTAAAGCCAATTGTTTTCTCCGAAAAGGACTACAAATTAATTCATGTTTTCGTAGCTTAAGTCTAAGCTCTAGAAATAATTCACCGAAAAAGACATGTCTTTATGACTTTCATGTGGAAAATGGTGCAAAAATTGTCGATTTCGCTGGTTTTCAAATGCCTGTCCTCTATAAGGACCTCTCAATAAATGACTCCCATTTGCATACCAGACAGTCTTCGAGTCTCTTCGATGTCTCCCATATGTTGCAAATGCGAGTCTCAGGCAAAGACAACATCCAATTTATGGAAAGCCTAACCGTTGCTGACATTCAAGGCTTGGAACCAAACACTGGAACTCTTACTCTATATACCAACGAAACGGGAGGTATTATTGATGACCTCATTGTCACCAAAACAGACAAAGAGTTTCTGTATGTTGTCTCAAATGCGGGTCGTATTGAACAAGACTTAAAACACGTCACAACCCATTGCCAGACATTGAAAAGTAAGGGGAAAGACGTGTCAATCGAGATCTTGGAGAGGGCTCTTCTGGCACTACAGGGCCCACAATCTGCCCGATGTCTGCAGTCATTAGTTGACTCGGATTTGTCGAAATTAAATTTCATGGCATCCGTAGTGACGAGTGTTTGCGGTGTCAATGACTGTCGGATCACACGATGCGGTTATACCGGAGAGGATGGCTTTGAGATATCTGTGCCGATCGAGAGAGCGGTTCACGTGGCAAACACTCTGCTCACCTCATCTAACGGTGCGGTCAGACTGGCCGGACTCGGAGCTCGAGACACACTCAGACTCGAAGCCGGTCTCTGTCTTTATGGCAATGACATCGACGAGAAGACGAGTCCAATCGCCGCATCCCTGACCTGGACTATCGCCAAAAGACGGCGACAAACCGCTGACTTCATTGGCTCTCAAATAGTTTTAAAGCATTTGAAAGATAAGCCCAAAGAACGAAGAGTGGGATTACTTGGACTCACTTCGGGTCCGCCCGCGAGGTCTCACTCTTCAGTATTAGATCCAAACACTAAGGAAAGGATCGGTGAAGTGACGAGTGGTTGTCCATCGCCTTCACTCAAGAAGAATATAGCGATGGCTTATCTGCCACTGACTCATAAAATTGGTTCAAAAGTAATTTGTGACATAAGAGGCAAACAGTTTGAGTACGAAATCGTAAAAATGCCTTTCGTTTCGACAAACTATTATTTCATTAAATAGATATATTTTGTTAAACAAATGAGAAGTAATAAAAATATATTTTTATACTATCGTAATGTTAGTAAAAACAATAGAATAGATGATTAATAATGGAAAGGATGAAAATAATGAATGGCATTGAATATACAATATTTTTATTTATATAATTAATGATAGATTATATTATAATGGTTTGATTGATGCGATTAATGGCACTCTTTTTCTTATAAAAACAATAATATTCTGCAAAACTATTGAATCAAACAAAAACAATATATCAATAATAATGATAATAAACTTTGTAATACAGTGAATACAAATAAATTAATGATATAATAAATATTAGTCCCAATCCTTTAATTTATGGAATGAATAATTGATAATTCAATTTGTAGTATCAGGTAATGACAACTCCCTTATGAACACAGGGACCGTTAGTCGCTTCCTCGAGTAGGGCCGGCCAGAGATAAGTCTGCAGTAAATTAAGCGTTCAATTGTTGTTCAATAAAAAGCAAAAGACAATAAATAATAATATTTATAAATACTATGAATAATACCTTAATTACATCCGAGTCCTGGTTAGAGGAGTGGAACTTAATGTGCATATCTCTGCGGAAACTTCGTGTCTCGTACTCTATAACGAAGGGTGGGTTCTGTATGGAAAGTGCCCAGGCCAGTTTGATACAGTCCCTCACGTATGTTACTAAAACATCGCACGATTTCAAACACGGATAGTCGTAAAGTGTGGCCCAAATTTGAGTGCAAACCTCCTATGAATTAAATATTAGTTCTCGTATTAGAAGTCAATGACTATTAGGGAGTCTGAGTTCAACTCTCACTACAAATACCTCAACGTTTTTGTTGACATCGAATCGATCAGTGGTTGACCGCAGATATGAGTTAACGCTTGAGTCGAGCTCTTTGACTGAGGGATCAATAGTTGGCACCTCTAATGAGTCCGCAATCTGAAGCAATTGATTCAATCGATGCTTTATGTCAACCAACAAGTGCTGAACCGAACGGAACGCAAGCTTTTAAAGTCACACAAAAGATGATCAATACGTTTGTGTCATTTATTACTATTAGAGTTTAGTTCATGAGAGAGAGCTTCAAAAAGATCTTACGACTACTACAGAGAAAAGGAGTTTCGATTTGAGTTCATCGGCATCTCTCAGCGCTTGAAGACTATCCAACGCATCCAATGTGTCGACTCGGGCTGTCATACGAGACAATCACATCAATAATTGAGCGTTAAATTAATGAATGAATACAAACCCTGTGCGTAAAGGTTTCCGTATCTCCTGATGAGAGCCGTGGGTCTGCGGTCTCCGAGACAGACATTCTCGAAGCGAACGCCCCTTTCGAGCATTCGTTGGCTCTGTTCCGCGAGTCTGTCCTTCAGTTTGCGCTCCTTTTCTTGTAATTCAAAGATTGTTTGCTTGCATTTCACGAGTTCTCGACGCAAGACATCCAATTCACTCGTGTCCTCAACACGTTGTGTCCAAATGCTTCCCTTTACTGTCACACAACTGTCTCCTGAAGAGTCGCGACGAGAACCTAATTAACGGTTTGACAAATCATTTAAATAAATGCGACATTTTAATCACACATTTAATCAGACAAACCATTAGATACAGTATCCGATGCGAACTTAGGGTCCAAACCATTGCCTCCACTGTTGTCTGACTTTCCGCTGTCAGAGAATGATTGAGTGTCACTACGAGTGTCACTACCGGCAGATCCACCGCTCACTAGTCGACGAGCACTCGGCCTATTGCTCTTCACTCGCACTATACATATGAGACATACCATACAATTGTCATCAATAATGAGTTGCAAACAAACTTTCATTAAATTATAAAAACTCTATTTTGTAAACGAACTACAGGTATATAAATTGTGTAAAAATAGTGTAATACTGTATAATATAAAAGTAGATCAAGTAATTCCAATATTGTATAGATATAAATAAAATGATATTAAATGTTAAAAACAAAATTCTTATTCTCAGTACAAAATAAAATTCTTAGTCAATTAGATAGTTCTAAGAATACCGTAATTTTGAAAGGTTTTCATCAGTTTAGGTACTGTATAATAAACAGACAAACAATGAATTTGTAATCAAATGAAAGGATAGAAAGCTTATTCTTATTGTACTCTAAAGTCATTAAATTTATAGCAGAGCTCATGGAGTCAAAGATGTCAACCAATTGACAGGAATACAGGTATTCACAACACATTCACAAATACAAACAAAATTATTCTGTTCCTAAATCTTGTTTGCATTTAATCTTAAAGATTAAATATATAAAAATTAAATTTAAGTGCGTTATAATGTTTAATTTGCTTATAAATCAATTGTAAAATGTTATAGTTTAAGTAACTGTTGTTATTATTTTTGATTAAAATAAAAGAATTGAGTTGAAATGTATAATTTAATGTTATAAATTCTTTTTATGTTGAATTTAATTTTGAATTAAAGACTCAAATTCTTAGTAATCTTTAAAAGTAATCTTAAATTTTAATTAAATTTTGTGCCTTTACTCGTTGAATATTAATAATGGATGAACTGCTTTCAAAATTATAAATTTGTCAAAAAATAAATATAGTGCGGGTATAATTCAAAAAATATTTTTCTTAAATTTATGTTATTATTACAACTCAACTATGCTTATAGTGTATGCTATTCCTGTCATTCAGTGAAGTACTGTAATAAAAAATTACATACAAGTGTGAGTCCAACCATTAAATTAATGAAAATGGATTATTAGTTAATTAATTTCTCTCTTAATTTTTCATTTATGCATTAATTTCTTTCATATCTATTATTTGCGATCGTTTTCACATAACTTTTTATTATTCGGCTGAGAATTGTTTCGCATTTGATATTAAAATCTAATAATTGGGTTAATATGAAGCAAAAGACCCAAATTTGACATTTACTTTAAATTATCTCTTAATTGTACAGAAGTTGTCCTCAAAAGATAGTGAAAAATATATAACTGATCCCATAATAGCAACTTTAATATAGACATCAAGAAATTGCTAAAAGCAATTACACCTCATACTGATTCACATATAATATTGTTTTATACAACTCTATATTTGAACACAATTTATAGCAAAGATCTTTAAGTATAAGAAAATAATTAATCAACTAAATGTAGTCTAAGAATTGTATAAAATTAAAAATTTATCAAAATTGTCATTTATGAAATGAAATCTACCTTATAATTTAGAACTGAAGTATAATTTATCACAAAAATTACTTTATTTAATCAATAATTTAATCCAAATTTTATTTAGATAATGCTTTATTTATAGGTTCTCTATATTTTTACAGACAATTAATGAAAATATAAGGAAATTGTCATCAAAGACATCAAAAGCAAATTTATTGAAATGACTGTTAGGTTTGGTTCAATAAATTAGTGGATTTACAATTTGGAAATCCCTTTATATAGAGATTCTTCTTTACTAACTTCTACTGTATTATACTTATACCACAATATATTTTTTACTGTCTATTAGATAATTGAATGGAAGGAATGATAAAATGTTGACATTCAGGAATAAATAATAAAAATCTTTGAACAGTAAAAACAAATTACTTTAATGAAAATTAATTAAAGCCCTAATTGAATTTGAAATGAATGACTACTTCACAAGAGTAAACCCAAACAAATATTGAACACTATTTTTTAGAGTACCGTAAATCCACTCAAAAAGATATGTTTGTAGTGAAAATGATTTTGTAATTTTCATATCATATATACTCAACATTTATTGATGTCTATCATTCCCGAAATTTTAAATTCAGTTCAAACATAAATATAGAAAATTGTGTAAAAAAGACATTTTCATGATAAATAATAATCGAAAATTTTAAAAGTAATCAAATATTTTCTTTAAAATCGTGTGATTTCTCTGAAATATAAGATAAAATCAAATATCTTTGAAATTCTACATAATTTATGTGTAATATAAATTCAATTCAATTAGATTTCTACATAATATATTATACGCTATTTTATATAATTCTACAATAGCTATTGAAGTATTTAATTGAATTTTATATGTTTTACTTTAGTTTGAAAAATAGAGGGAAACTTATTATTGTTATTATTATTAAAAATTACTGTAAATTCACTGCTTTATTAAATAAATATATTTTTTTAATGAATGGCCTAAAAGTTAGATTTCATGAGAAATCATACAAAAAATGTTTTTATTATATTGTATTGATTTTATATTTTGGTATATAATTTTATAAAATATGCATAATTTACTTTATATAATAATGTAACACTAGATATAATTTATAAATAATTGTCCTTTTGACAATTGAATTGTATATTGGATGTCATTTTTACTTTAAAGTAAAACTATAAAATTATTGTCAATCTAGTGTATTATTAATTTAATTATTGTATGAAATATTAAAATTTAATAGTATTGAATAGTAGTATCATAGATGATAATTGACAATGAAATACATGAAAAATATGACACAATATACACCACAATACAGTATGTGATAGTTTGGGGTGTATTTAGATTATATAATATTTAATGGTTTGAAAAGAACTCACTTTCGTGCGGATCATCACTCGAAGTGATCATTTGATTACACATTAGTTCGTTAGCCATAACACTATTCTTATGCCAAATGAGAACTTAATTGAGTTTTGAATAACAATAGAGTTTTTAGTTAGCATTGCATAGAAAGCAAGTGTTTGAACGCCCCGTCAAATACATGTTGAATATATTGAACTAATTCGAGACAAACAGTTACTAAAGGCATATATTTCTCGTACATTTCAAATGCATGTGTTTCTCATGTAATTTGATATCTTTTTAGGTTTATATTTGTTTTCGCAAACTATTAGTCCATTGCTGAAGGAGTGCTTGAATTGAGTGATTGAAGGCATTAGTTGGCAGATGTGCTGACGTTTTGTTAATAAAGTGAAGACTAAACCATAGGTTCATAAGAAAATTCTTTTGACAAAAGCTTTGTTTGATATTAATATCTTTGCATAACTGTTAAGCCGTCAAAGCGTTAGACAATCGATTCAATTGAGTCTAATGTGAGGCAAAAAGTTTTGATTCATAAGAAATAAGAGCCCAAACGCTCCGTAATAGCACCGTTAGGTCTTGTCATGGGGGCTGTTGGGTCCGGTTTGGCAGGTTTTCACATAACGGCACCGATTATATTCAATAAATTATGTGCCACTCGTTACAAACAGTCTATAAATTTAATTTTAACCTTTTGGTGCATTTGGTTGTAAAAGCAGTTTTAGAAACGCAAACATTGAATGCATTGAATGAATACTTGATATGCTTTGAGGTATTTAAAGGCATCCATCGGTTAAATGAAATTAATTATACTTTTTGTCGAACAGAGAGTTGTTTTCCAACTGATGGCTACTATTCATGCCATTCAACTTGACCTACAAATTATCCCCGGCTATCAAAACCCTATACATTAAACTCTAAATTCATGTCTTATGTAATTATTATAATATAGTAAATGATTTTTTTAGTAAAACTCAAATTAAAAACATATGCTTCTGATATATACTCTATCATTATGTTTATGTAATTATAATAGATTTTTAAAAATAAAAATAAGTTCAACAAATCATTATTAACCAAACAATCAAAACAATTATTTTATATAATAATAACGATTAAATATTGTTTTTGTAACTTTTCCACAAATTTTAATCTCATATTAACTATACGTTATATTTTGATTGCTATAAAATTAAGAGTTAATTTCAATACAAAACAATTTATCTAAATTTTATAGATATTTTTTCTATTTATTTTATTCAATGATATACACTATTTTATTCTGTAGTAAGTAAATATCATTGGATTACATTAAAATACAAATTCTATCTATTTATAATTATATTTATATAGCAATTAATGAACTCTATTTTTAGCATTTATTTGAGGAATCTTAAATAATTTGGAAAATAAGTTAATCGGGGCTCATTTATCTAACACTTCATTCAATGACTAATTGTACTCAATTATGGTATCAAAGGTTTTGACATACAATTCGTACAGCTATTAGCATACATGTAGCATAAACAACAATTAAATGAATTATAAAATTAGTGTTTCTATGTAATTATGAAATTAAAAGTAATAATTATTATTAACTTGTTATACAAATTATGTAAGTTTTGTATAATTAGCAAATGTCTGATATGTGACTGCGATTAAAAATTCTTGACTTTGGAAACCATATAAAAGTTGTGTTTGAGTGCTATCTCCCCAAAACAGACACTCCGTACACACCATAAGCGCATTATTGTTTATTAGATAAACTAAATGCACCAAAACATGAATTAATTTTGAAAATTTGTGATAAAGTGCACAAAACACAACGATTTATAGCCTAGACTTTGACTCAGAAAATAGTAAAACCGGAAAGATTTGTGTAAAAGAGTGCCCGAAGTTATATTAGCCGTTATTGACAAACCGGTGCTCACTATTCACCAATAGATTGGCTATTATGTGAAGCACTCGACCGAAAATGCATGAAAAATGCATATAAACAACAAAACATAGGTATAATGAATTAAAATACGATAACCGCTATTATATTGTACTGTAGTACTGCATTGAAAATTAGTATGTTTTGCACAAAAGCATTTTTGATGAAAAGTACTGAATATTTGATTACACTTTCATTGCATCAATTATTTGCAGTAATATTTGGTTCGTTGCTCTTCGCAATCGGAGTTCATTACTATCTCTCATATAATTTCACATAATTTCGTTGCGAAAGCAAATGAACAAAATTTATGCGAAACTACGTTCTCATGCGTTTTGATCAGGCTATTAGTTTTTATAAGCAATTAAAAAGCATATGATATAACACAAGGCGAGTACTCACCGGATCGATAGAGGACTGTATTGTACTTTTTGGTTGCCTTACAGTTGGGAATATTGAGCGGAGAGTTCATGATTAGTGCCGAATCGGAATCGCTGTGATATCCGGATATATCGCTGCTGTCATCGTTGTCCACAGTGTCTGAGCCGTGAACTTCTTTTATGAGATTCAAGACCTAAATATTAATTGAATTTAACATAATATAATGCAAATAGTGTTCCAATAGTATGCGTAAATGCTATATAAATAGATTGAGATAAGCATAGCTACCTGTCCACATCCATGGGAGAATCTCATGAGAACTGGTGCGACAATAGCCTCCTTATCGATGGGATTGTGAGCGGATGAGTTGGGAGAGAGGGATGAGTACTCTTTCCTCAATTGAGTGAATTGGAAGAGAACTTCTTTGTCATAATCGATACGTTTCTGGAGTATTGCTAACAGTATTTGCAGGGAATGGTTGGTCAAAGAACAGGGCTCTATAGCGTTCAGAAGTGTCTTATTCTTAATTAGTCTCTCTTGGATCTCATCCTGTCTTAAGCTCAATAACCTCTGATGTGAGCTATTGGTGGGCGCGGGTCCCTGTGATAATGAACTGGTAATCGGCTCTTTATTCTTAGCCAAAGCCAACTCTTCGAGCTTTTGTACCGCAATCTTATAGTGTTGTATAACGCGTTCAAACTCTAGTTTAAGCGCTTCGTGTAGATTCATGAGCTTTTCATCGGAAGTCCCCACCAGTCCGTGATGACCCATACCCTCAATAGCCCGGTCAAGGGATCGCTTTTTGCAATATATTTGTTTTCTCAAACCGGGCTCACACAATATTATAACCTGGATCATATGTATGACACGCAACGCGCGTTTTATTATAAAAGCTTTGCACAGAAAACTAATAATGAAATGTGAAAGCAAACTCATGAACAGACCTTTAATAGTTTCCTACACGAGACAACTGCCGGGTGATTGGTATCCAAGCGCTCTTGAATGCATTGGAGGAGACAATTGGCGTTTTCAGGAATGGATGGGCTCTGAAGGGCGAAGAGTCTGACCATTTGCATCATCACATTCTCCGGATGAAGAAATTTGAATGAAAGTGTGAGTCCATCGCTTGCACTGAGAAACACTTTGGCGTAAAGAGCCTCAAGAATTGGCAGAGAGTTGGGAATGGACTCAACGAACACATCAATTGGCAAATCAGTTATTATGGCTTTGAATGTACTATAGTTGAGACGATTGATAAAATTGGCCGCTTCTCGGAACTGGAGGTTCTCATAGAGAAGTAATATTCTTCTGATGGCTACAGTAGTGGACACGTCGGTGATCGTCATGCTATTGATATGTGAGTTGTCGTAGTCCTCATCGTCTCCATCAAACCCCTTCACCCACTGAGAGCTCCTCCACGTAAGCTTCTGGACATTGCGTCGGTTGGACTTCTCGGGTCGGATCCGATTGACAACTGAACTCAACGGCTGATGACTTTGTTGGTTGTGTTGGGAGTGATGGGTCTGCGCCCGACTCTGAGAGGAGTGAGAGTTTTGGGTCAGACTCTGAGAGTTGTGCAGATCATTGGATCCAATATAATGGGAAATCATGTGCGAAAGGGGCGCTCCGTTACCATAACGCGAATTACTCATCGCAGGGTTTCCGCCGTGATATCTGGCGTTATATATATTGAGTTTGTGGTGATTCACACCTTTCGACAGATTCTCGATCGTTAGCGGAGAGGGATTGTGGTATAGACTGACAGAACTGTTTGAAGTCATTGTATATATCGATCCAAACTAATAATGGCTTCAATTTATGTCATATTTTATTCTTAATATAAAATACTTTTTCCACTCAAACAACACAAGAGAAATGCCGAGAAAAAGATTTGCGGATAAATTGTGGGCTTAGATCGTGGCGTTCACTAAATCATTAGTTTTGTGGCTATAAGTGGATGAGTGGAGACAACTGTGCCTCACGTGTGAACAGTAGCCGAGGAAGAGCGCAAATGCCGACCAAACATACCAAACACCACAACACCACTCAGTCACTCGACTATCACTTCTAAGGTAGGAATGGTAGCAGCGTTTGGAGGCATACAATGAATTCATGCGATCTTTCAAAGTGCATGCCTATGCCGATGCCAGTCATCCAACTCTTAGCAACACTGGTTCAGGTACTCCTACAGTAACTGTTGACTCGTTGGAGTTGGTCTACGAGTACTTCATAACAAACACAAGACTTTGCAAAGAGAGAGAGAGAGAGAGAGAGAGAGAGAGAGAAGAACACAACCAAACAAAACATGAGAAGCGGTAACAAGTTTTGCAAAATTGTGTCAATCAGACAGTCAGTAACTAAACTAAGGCTAATGTTCTGTACAATTCGGCTGCAAATATGTTGTCTAACCGTAAGGCAAATATAAACTTTATATTTATATACAGATTACAAACTCTTGTACTGTAGTATGTAGTATGACCTTAAGATAACTGTTTGCTTCATAACAATATTGAATAATAAATCTGATGTTTCCATGTTTTAACCCTAACTCCAAACTCCAACTTTATTTCCAATAGTTTGTTAGCCATTCAAAACTCGTATCACAATTATTTAATGCCATAAATTTACTCATCATAATAACATAACAGGCCTTTTATTCCACTTGGCAAATGTTGGCCCCTTTTTCAGGACAAACATTAAGTCATTTATTAAAAGAAATTACTTTATTTTGTCAAATGCTTTTTGATTAACACACTATTATTGATAGTTTGGTGTACTTCCAGTGTTTCAACGACTTTTTAAACAGAAAAAAGGCATTAACTTAATTCCGATCGACTTGATTGGGGTTTAATTTTAATCATTTATTATTTTATTTAACCATTAATTAAAGTATATTTTCTAATTGACGAGATAATTACATATTTTAGGTATAAATTTGTGTTAATAAATTTAATTGCTTTTATCTTTTCTTAATATATTTTGATATATTTATTACTATATAATGCAATCAACTTTGATTTCACAAACAATTACCAAAATGTAGTTTAACACAGAAATGAGTTTATCAGACAGATATTACTTTTATAAATTTGATTCAACTAAATGACTGAA